ATGTATGGGTCTGTCATTCAGAGATGGTTGCATAGCTGTTGCATTTATCCTTCTGCAAATGTAAACATTCTGCTGCTAAAACGGGGGGGGGGGGGGGGGGTTGTCTCCAAATTTGGAAATGTTAAGAATTGTGGACTTCATCTCCCAGAAGTCCACAATTCTTAACATCACCAAATTTGGAGATTCCCTGGGCTAAAAAAAAAGCAGAGAAATTTCTCAATGGGAAATCAGATCAACCCAATCTACACTCAGGGATGTGCATCTCCACACTATGTGTAGTTAAGATCTGGGAGAATGTGGGCATCAACCCATTTTCAACCCACACTTACCCATCAACCCCTTCTCAGAGGAGATAGGCGTCAACACCTATGCGCAGTTGTGGATAAGTCTAAAATTAATCAAACTTTACGTGTGGTCAGAACACATTGCTGTTAGAAGTAGCCAGCATTCAAAGAAGATTATTCTCCATCATTTATCTTATCACTGAGGAGTAAGGAACTCCATAATGCCCTTTAAAACTCACTAGGTCACACCGATATTAATCTTAGGGCAACCATTTCTTGAAATCCAATGAAAAAAAACCCACTTTATGTGGAGTTCTTGGCATGTGGCCTTCCTTGATAGCAATATTCCTGTCGGAGCCCTGACCGCCAGCCCACTCCAAGACACATCATTCACTTCACCCTTGACCCTGATCTTCCCTCCACCTCCTGGATGTATATTCTTCAATGGGACACATCCATAGCCAAGAGTTGTCAATCATGATCTCCAGTAATAATCTTGTGTGCCAACAGCTTCGGCCGCCTAGCAATTATCTGAAGCATTTAAGGAATGCACTACTTTGCCCCTTCCCTTTCTGCTGGCCACTAAAAAGACCAAAGAAGTTTTTGTTTGGTTGACAGTTCCATTGTTTCTAGAACTAAGGATACTGATTTTTAAAATCCATCTTTTCATTAAGAGAGGATTGGAGGTGATTTCCATAAAGACCACTTAAGAATTCTACCGGCCCTCTCAATATTTTTATTTAAACTATTTAACTCAGATACTTTAACTATTCAGCTCAGATAATGAGGTGGGGAAAGTCACAATGATAGTTAATGGCCACATAAATTCCTGCCCTTATTATGAATAGACATTAAAAATGGGTGGGGCTTTGATCATATGACTTTGGCTGCCCTCTTGACATTTAATCTCTTCCCCACCCACCTACCCCAAGGAAAGGACCACCCTCACAGCTACTCATAAATTAACCCTTTTTATTTTTCCTCTGAAAGTTTATTTGAAGCTGTCTAAACCAGGGGTCTCCAATCTTGGCAATTTTATGACTTGTGGACTTCAACTCCCAGAGTTCTCCAGCCAGCTTTGCTTCAAGTCTGGGAGTTGAAGTCTACAAGTTGTAAAATTCCCAAGATTGGAGACCCCTGGTTTAAATCACCTTTGTAGAATTTACAGGACATAGACCCACATTCATCTTTACTCTAGTAGGACCATCCTGGAGTAAGCAGTCTGAAGATTTCAAGCCTGGACAGCTGTTGGCCTATACATCTTCTAAAATGGAACAAAAACCGATTTGAACCCTTCATACCCACAAGTTGTATTACAAGTGTTACCTTTACATAGAGCATTTTAATAAAAGGCCATGTCTGAAAATGCCTTAGAATTTATACAAACACCATTATATCAAACACATCATTTAAAAACCTGGATAAATCACTACCCCCAAAAAGAAATAAGAAGAATAAGAACATCCTGAAAGTCTCCAAGTGGAATTCTTTCAGTAATATTTGTTGCATATTTCATATTCCAGTTTTTTTCTGATTCTGCTCTAGCCAATGATGAGTAAAAGCCATTTCTAATTCCTCACCAGAACCTCCATTTTATGGTTTACGCTTGATGGGTCTAATCCATTCTTGGTTCCTTAAGTTTTGGAGTACTTTGGCTCTCTGATCAATTCAAATTGTGTCTCCTTGAAATACATGGGTATGGGACCCTAATCCCACAAATTGTATCACTCTCTTTTTTTCTTTTTTTTTTTTGCTTGCAAGGCTAAAGTAACATCTCAGCATCTAAAATTTCACATAAAGGTTGTGAGGCCAAGAAGATGTAGATCAAGGGTGATCAACCTGTATCCTCAAGACCATACATGGTCCCCAAGTCTTCTTTTTTCTGGCCTTATGGCCATGACTGCTGAAAAAAATAACAGCACAGCCTCCTGCCAATTGGGAAACATTAAAACTTGCATCGTAAGACCAAAAATAGACACCTTACCCTTAAAAGCAAAGACCCATATGTGAAAAGGTCACCCACATTTTGTGGGCCTCGGGCTCCCCTAAAAGTTGGATAGTCCTTGCCACCAAAACATTTTCCATCCCTGAATGAATGTGCCCTCGTTTTAGCAACTCTTTATCTTAGAAACAAGGTTTCTGCTTGGGACTTAGGTTGGCTTAAACTCCAAAAACAGGTCAATGAAAACTAGGTCAAGATTCTAATTTTTTTTTCATGCATATTTCTAGGGATCCCACCATTTCCTTATTCGTACTGCTTTCACAACTGTCTTATCCAAATAATTCACTGGACCTATCTCTTATACAATGGTCCAATGACCATTTCACAACACAAATCCTCAGCTTTGTTGTTTCCACTACAGTTTGTTGACAATTCCTTCCATGGAGCATTTCCCTCCAGGAATATACAATACTTCTAAAAGGATCCCATAATTGGGACAATTCTATCTTGTTGATTTCTACCTATGTGACTGACACCCACCCCACCCCCAAGAAAAAAATATGGATTGTTGTGTTTCCCCCATGCATTATTCCACATGTTTTACCAAGCACTAGGCCACCTCCGCCTCCATGTATACGCAAATGTGATTTTTTTTGGAGGATATGTTAAATTTCACTGGAATGAATTACGTCTACCTCAAATTCTCAAAGGAATAAGATTGGCCACTGGTCTACTCCAATTGTGCTAATCTATCAGTTTTAAAAGAGTTTCTATGCAAACATATAAGTTTCATAGGTGAACAAGCTGTGTACATTTTTTCTTTTTTTGCATTGGCCAGTGCATTCCAGTACCCACCATGTGGCATCCAACCCATCAGATATGGAGAGTGCAATCACACAATCTGGGTTTCTGTCCTCTCTGTCTAAATATAGTTAGTCAGGAAGATTCCTAAGGGAAGTGAGAGGAAACTAGACATCCTTGGGCTGACGTGATTGGACAGAAGGTACGTTCCTAAACTTAATTGCATTCCACCCACTCATACCTGGAAAATATATATATATATATAACAATCGTATGGTGCATACATCTTGCATTGATAGCATAGTTCTGACAATATCCATCTACTACGCCATCTGATTTCCATCTGAAATCCATCTGATTTCCAACAGTCACCCAATGGCACAGATAATACAGGCAGCCCTCAACTTATGACAGTTCATTTAGTGACCGTTTGAAGTGACGACGTCGTCAAAAAAGAGACTTATGACCGTTTTTCACACTTAAGCCCATTTCAGCATCCTCACTGTCACATGCTCAAAATTCAGACACTTGGCAAGTGGCTTATATTTAGGAATGTTCTGGGGTCACGTGATCGCCTTTTGAGACCTTCTGATAATGGGGGAAGGTAGATTCACTTAATGACTGGGTTCCTAGCTTAACACCTGCAAGTGATTCACTTAACCATGGTCGTAAAATGGAGCAAAGCAAACTACCTGTATGGAGTTGCTTGAATTGCTACAAGTAAAACAGCGTATCTACAACGTGAGTTAGCATGAGGTGTAAAAGCTCACCGCGAGCCCGATTCTGCTAAAATCCCATATTTACCCAGTGATAAATGGCGTTGTTTTTAAAAGAATTAGTGCTTGGTATGTATATCCTAACTTTTTTTTTTCCTTTTTAAGAATTTTTAATATTTTTTTTTTGTTTGTGTTTTGTTTTTAGGTATAGCATAATAAAACAAATAGAAACAAGTTTCAGTTCAATCCACAGCTGTTTCAAAAAATACCAGGTAAAAAAAGCAATATCTTATATAACTTTCTACAGTATGTTCACCTGGTTAGATCTGGGGGTGGGAGTGGCGGGTAGAAATGTGTATTAAGCTGGAAGGGAAGGAGGGGAGAAGAGGACAAAATAAATGCATTGTGTAAATGCATTTTTTTAATAAAAAAAAATCACCATAGGCTATATGTAAAAGCACAAACCCTAACCTCCTAGTAAAATTTATACCACCTACATTCCCTCCTAAGCCCTTGATTAAACGAAGTGAACCCTACCAAGAATGAGAACATAATTGCTGAATGCATTTATCTCAAAAGTCCTTTGTGTGAAGTCTAAACGATGCAACCTCCTTCTTTGAAAAAGGAGCAAGTTAGACTGATAATGTGAAATGCAGGCTGTTCAAAAAAATAATCCCAACTCTTCGTATGCCTTGAAGCATGAGGGAACTCTTACGGTTTCGTAAGAAAAGGGGGAAAAAAATCAAATCGAAAGATGAGCTTCTTTCCCATTTGCGCCTCTTATTTTAGTCCTTTTCCGTTCAATTGCTTCGTGGTTTTTGACATTACAACAACACGGGTGTTTCTAAATTGAGCAATGAGGCCATGGTAACCATGATGATATACGATTCATAATAGATTAGTTTTTTTTTTTAAAAAAAGAAACCAGTTTCAGTTTGTGGTTACAGCACTGAATGTCTCTCTAAAGGAGTGTATTCTCTTGCAGAATATGAACCTGGGATACAGGATGATGGTTTGATATTTTTTTTTGCCAAAAAAAAGAGAGAAAGAGAGAAGAGAACCTCAACCAAAACGTCAGTTACCTTCTGTTGGGATAGTTCAAGCCAGTCTTAACAATAGTGATAACAATAAAGATTTTTTTCCCCACCCCTCCCCCAAGAGCACAAGCCTGTGATTATACATTGCAAAGAAAGAAAACGGATCCTTGCCTATGGGATTTTTCTCGTTGAAAAAGTCCATCCTTCTCTCTCCTTTCTGTTAGCCGTCGCACAGCATGTGCCATTTGGCAATCTGTCTCCTGGGATATTCACAGATCTCCTTCCAATGTTCTCCAGCCGTGCCTTCCGCCGAAGCCCCCAAGGTTAACCGGCCGATGATGTCATTCCGGGACCCCCTATCGGAATCCAGTACTAAGAATTCGATGCTGATCTCTTCGAGACCTTCGCAGGGAATATCGAAGACAAAGAGTTCGTTGAACACCGCGTTGGGGGTACACTTCTTGACGTGCGTCTTCTTTTTGGAGATCCGTTTCTTGGCGTGGTAAAGGTTGACTTTGACATAAGGGTCTGCAAGGGAAGTAACATACGACGGTTGGACTAAGACCAGGTGTCAGGGCTCCGACAAATCCACCCCCATTCAAATTATCAGTCTCTAGCTGCATCTCTCAGAGTTAAATTTTTATTTATTTATTAGGAGTGACCATGCCAGCGTTACCTGGGTGCAGCCAACTCTAAGACACATCATTCATTTCACCCTTGACCCTGGTCTTCCCCCCACCCCCTGGATGTATATTCCCCAATGGGACATATCCATAGCCAAGAGTCATCAATCCTGCTCTCCAGTAATAATCCTGCCTGCCAACAGCTTCAGCTGCCTAGCAATTATCTGAAGCATTTAAGGAATGCACTACTTTCCCCACTCCTTTTTTTGCTGGCAGCTAAAAAGACCAAAGAAGTATTTTTTTAGTTGACACCAGGGGCTGGCAACCTTAAACACTCAAAGAGCTGCAAAGGTCCTAACCGGAAGCTCCCCATTCAATTCTGGAGCCAACTGGAAGTCCAGTTCACTCACCATAGAGTCTCCTCCTAGTGTGGAATCCTTTTTCCTCTACCTGTCCTAACTGGAAGCCCTATCAATTGACTGGCAAAAGGGAGCTGCAGCAGAGGGATGAAAGAGTCACATGTGGCTCCAGAGCCATGGGTTGCTGACCCCTGACTTAGACCAGGAGTATCAAACTCAAGGCTCAGGGGGACAGATTCAGCCCATGGGGTGCTTAGATGTGGCCCATGGGGCCACCCTGGAAACAGCAAAGGACCAGCCCATGGTGCCTCTGCATGGCCCTCCTGAGTTCTGTTTTCACTGGCAGGGGATTGCAGGAGGTCATCACTGCTGAAAACTGAGCTCCAGAGGGCTGCACATGTCCTGCCCAAGCATTTTCACTCACAGAGGGTTGCAGGAGGCCATCCCCACTGAAAACAGAGCTCATGAGGGCTACATGTGGCCCTCCTGAGCTTTGTTTTCACTGGCAGAGGTTGCAGGAGACCATCCCAGCCAAAAACGGCACTCGTGAGGGCTACATGTGGCCCTCCTGAGCTCCGTTTTCCCTGGCAGAGGGTTGCAGGAGGCTGTCACACCCAAAACAAGAGGTTGGGAGCCTGTTTTCACTGGCAGAACGCTTGGGCCACTACAGCCCACCCCCCCACCATGCCCACCAAGACCATGCCCACCCTGGCCCCCCGAAGTCAAACACAACCCTGATACAACCCTCAATGAAATCAACTTTGATGCCCCTGACTTAGTCTTCCAAAACTGATGTAAATTAAGGGATTGGAACATTCCTGTGTCTTCTCTTCTGTAGCCTCTTCCATACAGGACTCAAGTCTTTATCAACAGATAACAGTTAACAGAATAATGGAGTTGGAAGGAACCTTGGAGGTCTTTTAGTCCAACCCTATACCATTTCAGGTAAATGGTGGTCCAAACTCTTCTTAAAATCCTCCAGTGTTGGAGCCCTCATAACTCGGAGGCAAGTTCTCAACCCAAGGAAAAAAAAAACGTGCATTGTTATTCTACCAAGCTGCCTTTCTGAAACCTTTTACCATGGATGAAAGAATGTTCAGGTCTTGGAAACCCATGCATTAAAATTATTATATCTGCAACTGAGTCATGTCACATAAAAATTCCCACCAGAGCAAAAAAACAATGGATGGAAACTAAGGAGAGAACCAACCTAGAATTAAGGAGAAATTTCCTGAGATGTTGATATGTGGAACAGCTTGCCTTCAGAAGCTGTGGGTGCTCCAACACTGGAGGCTTTCAAAAAGAGACGGGATAACCATTTGTCTGAAATGGTATAAGGTCTCCTGCTTGAGCAGGGGATTGAGTAGAAGACTTATGTTGTGACCTGTCAGCTGCTGGCCCCTCCAGCAGCCAAATCAGAGGAGGAGGAGGAGGCCTGGGTGTCTGGATCAGCATCAGGGCAACCTGGGAGCTCCGAGGGGGAAGAGGGAATGGAGTTGGCAGAGAGAGAGAGGGGTGGAGTCTGGGCCGTCCGTCAGCCCTCAGATGGAGAGTCAACAGCCCCCAGGTCTGGAGGTGGCTGATGAAGAAGAAGAGGAACTGCTGGGTCCAGTGCCTAATGCATGGAGGCCCAAAAGGCAGAGGAGAGGAGAGCAGTGGAAATCTATGGGCCGATCCTTGGGATGGAACAGCCACCGCTGCTAGCAAGGCCCCACCTAGCTCTGGAGATAAAAGGTAGGGGGCGGGGATGAATAGGTGTGGCAGACAACTATTCATCTTCTGAACAGATGGACTTGTTACCCCGAGAGAGATTTTTTTTGCCGGGGCTGACAGCATTCCTAATCAAGGAATCTTTTTTTTTTTTTTTTTAAAACAAGTTTTATTAAAAGTTTCAACAACAAACAAATCATTACATATTGAATCTTTCCCTGTCTTTCTACAATAATTTCCCCAATATTCTCATAAAACACAAACAAACACAAACAAACATAAAAAAAATCTTTTAGTAAAGTACCTTGGCCCCAGTTACCTCTCTTTGCATGGGCTAAAATAATAGCACATATCACTCTTCACATTTCTATCTTATTTAATCCATCTTAATTAAATCATTAAATTTGTATCTTTTGCCCATTCAATTATCCCTCTATCTCTTCTTATAATAAAAAAAAAAATTTCTCCTGAAATCACTAATCAGAGTATGATGCCTTTCTATCCTCCCCCTAAGTTAGTAAAATTAACATTCAGCATAACAAATACCCAATTTGGTTCTGCTTGGTACATTCTATCCACCAAAAATGTTTAAATACATTGTATCCTCCTTTCCTTCGATATTTTATTACATTTTAAAAATCAATCATTATTAAAAACTTCAACATTTTAATTTCTTATTAAATCTTAAACCATTCTAATTTACTATTTCAAATATAAATATTACAATACCATCTTCTGTACCTTAGCAGAATCTTTCTTACAGAAAATTATATTTCATCCTTTGTCTCTAAAAAAAATCCCTCTTCTCCCATCCAATTTTAAAGCTTTGAGGCTTTTCTCCGCCTTTCCCCTTTCTTTCTTCCCCCACCAAATCTTCCTACCCCCCCTTCTTCTTCTAGCCTCTACCTTGCTGGGATCCCTTCTCTGTTGTGTTCCCTTTTTCTCTTGTTTGTTATCATTATATTTACTTTGCATCATATTTTTCTCTTTCTCAAATGTTTTTTTAGATCTTAAGTCCTTCATTTTCCTTGCTCTCTTCCTTCCTTCTTCCTTAGATAAGTTTTGGGATTCAATGAAGATGGCGTCTTCGTCTCTTCCTTGTTGTTCTTCTTCCGTTTCCATCTGTTCCATTGTCTGTTGATAATTGACCAGCGCCATTTCTAGAAATAGAAAAGCTTTTTCCATGCCATCTTTGCAGGCTGCTTTTGTTTGCTCATATTCATCCCTCAGGTCTTCAAAAAGGAAAGCCATTATAAATAAATCTTTTCTTTTCTTTATTCCTCTTTCTTCTTACACCAACCAAATATTCCGAGAGAAAGGCAAAACAATCCCAAAATCCACAATCCTCAATAAATCCAAGCAAGCCAAAATTCCCCCTTCCTCTTCCAGGGGTGGTATCAAACAAATAAAAAAAAAGAATCCAAGTCTATATTTTAAAGCCTTATTAAGATTGTATTTCTGTCCTCAAGTCTTCAAGGCATCTCCTCCAACAAGATCCAAATTAATATATTTTCTTTATCCTCTCCCTTCCGGCTTAATTCCGTCGGGAGGGAGAGTAAACTTTCCCTTCAGCACCTCAAAATAGCCGCTTTTTTTTCTCTTGTGGAAGAAATCATCAGAAAACCATCTTTTCCAGGAATTAAATTAGATAAATCTCAAAGCCCTGGGTCGACCAAGAAGAACTTTTACTTTCAATAACTTTCTCTTCTTCCTCCTGCGCATACTTGCCCGGCTGTCAACTTCTTTGTGGCGGCCATTACGGACCGCCGCTGCACCGTCCTGGTAACAGGGGGTTCTGCCGGCCAGGGAGGGGGTCTGCAACACCCCCAAACCCTTCCTCCGGATCCCCCTTACCTTCAGCTACCCCTGCAGGGCAGCCTTGCTCCGCACCCGTCCGGGTCGGAGCCCCAAAACGGCTAGCGCGGCAGGGATCGCGCAGCTTCGCGAATCCCTACCGCTCGCGAAGCCGACAAACCGGAAACCCCCCCTAATCAAGGAATCTTTTGAGTTCATGTCAGAGGGTTTATCCTGTTTGAGGAGCTAGGTCAGAACAACTTCCAAGATCTTTTCCAACTCTGTTATTCTATTGTTCCATTAACTAGCATCGTAGGGCATGCAAAGATCAAAAATTGATGATGATGATTATGATGGTGGTGATGATGATGATGATGATGATGATTTGGCAGTCCTAATCTCTTGGAGAACCCATGGCAACCTTTCATGAATCCCTACATTGCCACAGAACCTCAAACGAGAAAGGCTGCAAAGACTGTATTTTATATGGTAGAGAAGTGGTCCCCAATCAGCCCACTGGGAGAGTGGGCTGATTGGGGACCAGGCAACATGAGCAGCAGGCCAATGCACACGCAGCTTCACTCACGTGAGCGGCAGCTCAGCACACATACATGCGTGTAGGGGTGGGGTTCAAAAATTTTAGCAATGGGTTCTCTGCCCGATTGCTGTGTGGGCGTGGCCTAGTCGGCCTCCTGCACCAGGCTGGGAGTGGCCATTTTCACCTTCCCTGGGCTCCAGAGATTTTCCTCATTCCTCCGGGAGGACGAAAACGGCCTTCCTGAGCTCTGGAGGCCCTCTGGAGGCTGAAAACAGGCCTGTTTCCAATCTTCCAGAGCCTCTGGGAGGCCTGTTTTTCGCCCTCCCTGAGCCTCCACACAGGCCCCGCACTTACCTGACATCCAAAATGGGCCACATGGAGACTACTGGGAGAGGCAGGGTGGGGTGGGCGGGGCCAGTCAGGATAGGATTTGCCAGTTCACCAAACTAGCCATAAAATAAGCTACCAGGATTCAGCAGGTTCTGACCAGTTCTGGAGAACCGGTAGCGGAAATTTTGAGTAGTTCGGAGAACCAGCAAATCCCACCTCTGACTGGTCCCGCCAACCCCATCTATTCTCTGCCTCTCATTGAGTCCCAGCTCATTGGCTGGGTCTTCTTTGATTGCCCTGCACAGGAGAACAGAGCTGGAAAGCAGGTTAGTGGATGGGGAGGGAAGAGGATTTTGCAGTATCCTTCCCCCTGCCACGCCCACCAAGCCACACCTACAAAGCCATGCCATGCCCACAGAACCAGTAGTACAAAAAATTGAATCCCACCACTGGCCATGGCCCAGTTGTGGGTTGCGGCCTGGGATTTGGGGACCCCTGTGGTAAAACACACTCTATGACATCTCCAAGGGTGTTTGGCAGCTTCCCTATTCCCTGGGTTTGAATGGTTATTGCTAATAATTCTGGAAATGAGAGCTTAGAGGCAAAGCCAAGGCAGAATAATAATGAGCCAATTCAAAAGTGCATAGACTTACAATGTCTTTATAAAGGATGAGTCAACATTAAACTTTATGGGTAGATAGAACCACTTAGTTCCAGTTCAAGAAAAGCTGATGTATGTTGCATGTGTTGATATTATTCCACAAACATGTCTGGAGGGGATGATGTAGAACGGCTTTCACAATTCATGTCACATTTTATCTTTCCACCCCACATGTTGTGTTCTGGTTTTAATGTGAATTTATCTCTCTGGGAATTAGAGTCGCTTATAAGTCCACCAAAGAGAAATTCATCAATCTGCCTTTTTCAAAAGCAGTTCTGAGACATTTTTTTTAAACAAACCAACAAAAACAAGTATAGTTCCTATCTATAGAAAATCATTTGCTTCCCTGTAATTTCTAAATTCCTAGGTTCAGCCAGTCCCCATCCTCACCAGCTGAGAATCCATCAATGCCATTGCATGTGGTCTCCTTTTCAAATTACCTGATAATCCTGAAACATCAGCCTTAGGTAGATGCCTCGCCTTTAAAACAACCACAGTGAGCGTATTTGTTGTAGATTGGTAACAAAGCGAGATCAGCAATTCACCACGTCCGGAAGATTTCTGCAGAAGTAAAGAGATAAATTTGTTGAGTTGTTATGCTTCGAGCTGCTTCAAATCTAGAGACGGACAAGATTTGCAATATGACCATTAGCAACAAAATATTTCTAGTTTGGAGAATGAATATATGGATGAATCTGTCTGTGTCTCTGTATGTGTTTGTGTGTGTGTCTATTTGTCTGTCTGTATCTATCTATCTGCCTCTATCCCTCTCTATCTCTATCTATCTATCTATCTATCTATCTATCTATCTATCTATCTATCTATCTTATCTATCCTATCTATCTATCTATCTATCTATCTATCTATCTATCTATCATTCTATCATTCTATCTATCTCTTCCCACTATTTTTATTCATTTGTATCCCACCTTTATTATTTTTTACAAAAAAAACAAGATGATAAACACAGGCCCGAACTTCTAGAAACTGAAATCATCTACAACTGAAACCAAAGGAACAAGCTAGTTCTAGTAAATCTGGCCCAATTAATTTCATGTATTTCCATCTCTCTCTCTTTTTTTAATTAGTAATGTGTTTTGTCTAGTAAACACATGAAAACCTGAGAAGCCATGACAAATCTGGACATTATTTCAAAACATGGATGGAGCCAATTGGTCCTTTCTACCTGATGCTGTGATTCAATTTCATCTGCTTGAATAAGCTACCACGGTTGGGTTCACATAACATGCAATGTCATAATTTTGCAATGCAATGTTTTTGAACGATCGGGGCTGTCTTTAGAGAATTTGCCAAGTCACACTTCAACCACATTTTACTTGAGAAAGATGTTTGAAACAAACCAGGCACGCCTCAGTTGGATGACAGCTGAAGTCTCTCTGTCTCTCTGTCTGTCTCTGTCTCTGTCTCTGTCTCTGTCTCTGTCTCTGTCTCTGTCTCTCTCTCTCTCTCTCTCTCTCTCTCTCTCTGTCTCTCTCTTTGTGCCTGTCTTTCCCTCTGTCTGTGTGTCTCTCTGTCTCTCTGTCTCCCCCCCTCTCTTTGTCACTCTCTCTCTCTGTCTCTCTCTGTCTCTCTCTGTGTGTCTCTCTCTGTGCCTGTCTCTCCCTCTGTCTCTCTCTCTCTTTGTC